TTCGAAAAAATAGATTTTTCATATGTTTTACTATGTGATCGACAAAAATTACGTAGACTTTTGTCCAGTGAGTGTAGTTGTTGCGAAATATAGAAAGCTAATGACAAAAAATTGGAAAGGTTCATGAGTGGAAGTCGTCGAAACAATTACACTGTCAGCTGCTTATGTAACTAAATGAAAAAAATCAATTGACGGACTATTCCTATTAACTTTTGAAACCAAGAACTTTTTGGTTACTGCGGAACAATATAATTTTTGATCAGTTGATCTGCCATCAGCTGATCTCAAAATTAAATTTTTCATTTTTCTCGTGTTTTTCTTGCTGGCAACATGAGGTCACTAAGCCTTCTATCACAGTCTAGCCTTCGGCATTCTGAACCTCTCACCGGTGATCATGCATGCTTGCATGTTAATCCAGAGACCAATGACGTATACTTGGCTGGACTGGAAGATACAGAGTATGTGTTGTCGAAAATTGTATACAATCAGGTATGAAATATCAATATAATTTACGCACACTAATTAAATGCACATATTGATCTTCCTATATATAAATATTGCATCATTGAATCTGATACCAGGATGGGACTACACTTAAGCCTCACAAACAACCAATACTGGGATTTCCCGCAGAGGAGAGTGGTCGTATCGTGAATATCCATTTTCTGATTGACACTCAGACCGTTTGTATTGCCTTTGCTAAAGGAGCTATCGGTCTGATTGATGGTGATCAGGTATCTAGTAAAGAACGTGTTGATACTTGACGCTTTTCTTATAACAATGATTGCCATCAAGCCAATGCTAACCAGCTACTTATCAAACAAGTATGATGTCGTGGGGGAGGTTGAATCAGGAATAAGGTGTATGGAATGGAGTCCTGATGAAGAGTTAGTTATCATTGTAAGCGGTACGTTTATGCAGGTCATGCAAAACAATTTGTAGAACATGATGTCAGAACGTTGCGGTGAGAGTACAACATCAATTCATACCGGTAAGCCTCTGTTTGTTATTAATTTCTTACTTGCTGGTTTTATAGGCGTCGGCACTATCATGATAATGACAAAAGACTTTGATGCGATTACCGAATTTCCTATTAATGTCGATGAGGAGGGTGAAGGTAATCAAATTATTTATCCGGCCGACAAATTCATGATATGTTATAATACTCTTGTATCCAATCTCTTAAATTATATCGTCTTATAATCCTCAGCTGCGCCAATATCCCTCGGCTGGGGTAAGAAAGAAACACAATTTCATGGTTCAGAAGGCAAACGGGCAGCGCAGGTCAAGTTTGATATCTCGCAATACACAAAGTCACCAGACGACGATATGAAAACACGGATATCTTGGTGCGGAGATGGAAGCTATTTCTGTTGTTCCGAGTATGACTCTACGAAAGGTCAGCTATCTTACTATAGACAACTATCCATTAGACAGCTTGATCGGTTGTGAGCAGAAAGTTGATCTAATATTAAGCTTGAAACTTGGGGCAGGAAGGAGGGTAATACGGATATATAACAGGGAAGGAATATTACAGAATACTAGTGAGCCTGTTGATCAGTTAGAGCACGTTTTATCATGGCGGTAAATACATATCCCTCTTGTTTTATGTGTTCCTAAATTGTTCTTATTCTTTATCGACTCAATACAACAAACACTCTTTATCCCCAAAGTCCCGCGGGAAACTTGATTGCTTCATCGCAGCGCCTTCCACATCGTCATATAATCTGTTTCTTTGAACGCAACGGATTGCGACATGGTGATTTTGTATTGCGCGAAACGGGAGAACATAGATTAGTTGAAGTCGCATGGAATTGCGATTCGTCTATTCTTGCTGTCTGGCTGGTGAGAAAAGACACAAGTTCATCAGGTGAGAAACAACAAAAGATACGTTGAGGTTGGTGTTTATAGTTACACTTGAATTTACGCGTACCGTCTATTCTATATCTAATAAAGTGCAGTTGTGGAGTATGAACAATTATCACTGGTACCTGAAGCAAGAAATCAATAGTAGTGCAGACGATCAAATTGTTGCTATTCAATGGGACACTGAGATTTCGTTGAGATTGTATTTGGTTACAAAATGTAATGAACGAATTTACAAGTTATGCTTATTTGCATAGTGTTGTTAATATTGTTTCTACATTTATCATAGTTGCCTACCGTCGACTGGATTACTCGTGGGAGGTTTTCTCTTCGCCGATACTGTCTCCGCATAACAATGCAGCAGTAGCAGTGATTGATGGATGTATCCTTTAACGACATTACTGACACTGTGTCCTCCATCTATATTATACTTAATTCTGTACCATTGACTCGAATCACACAGCCTCATTGCTCCTAACTCCATTCAAACACATGAACGTCCCACCACCAATGAGCGCGTTTACACTCTCCCTCCCTGCTCCGGCATCTTATGTGTCATTTGGGCCGTTTAATAGGTGTAACGATTTTAGCGTTCTTCTCAATAATTCTCAACTTGCTCTTTTCGACTGGACTACGGAATCAAACCAATTGCGCTCGCCACCAATAGAAGCAGGAATTGTCAACTTGAGCGAATATGAAAGTATTAGACATGTGTTATGGAAGGATCAAAAGACGTTCGTGTTTGTGAATGCAGCTGGCATCGAGGACAAGGAGGAAATTGTCGCGATCGGAATAGACATTGAGGGAAAGCAAGGACAGGATGACAAGGAAAAAACTAGAAATTTGGTGGTGATTGAAAGAGCCGTTTTAAAATTGGAAAAAAGCGTGGTTCGGTTGTGGAAGAGTGGGATCTCGGAGAGAGTGTTTATCGAAGATTTTGATGGCGATGTATATGAAGGTTAGTACGAATTGAAAAATATGTAGGTGGAAAGGGATAAGGATAGGACTCTTGTCTATGCCTACAGCTATTATTTCGTCCAATTTAAACTTTATCGTGTCTAACGTTCAATGACGTTTACCTTGCAGTTCTCTTCAACACGGAAACCTCACCAACGTCAATATCACTCTCGTCACTCGTAACACACCTTCCCGAACCATGCCCATATGTCGCATCTATCGATCTGCCAACAAGCACGGAAACACCAATCATAATAGCTCAGAGTGAACGCAACAAGTTATATGCAAATGACCGATTAATCGCGGCAGACTGTACGTCGTTCTTTGTCCACAACAAGTTTCTGGTATTTACTACGTTAAATCACCATGCCCGATTTCTGAGTATAAGTACGGATGATGAAATTAAAGGTGATTATATAGGAGAGGAAAGGAAAATGGTTACGTATAAAGTCCGAATAAGATATAAACAATGGCTTTTTGAATAGAGCTCGGAAATACGGTTTTGGTGACGTCACCAGATGTGAAAGACGAGACAACGAGACGCGTCGAAAGAGGGTCAAAAATAATCATTGCTGTTCAATTCGGTACATCGTTAATACTACAGGTAATTATACGTAATGCAATGTGTACTGGCAAACGAAATTCTTGGCATAACCAACGTCTACGTTATTCACGTCCGTCATACATTTTAAGATGCCTCGTGGTAATTTAGAAACCATTCATCCTCGCCCTCTGGTTCTTTCTACTGTATATGCCTCCCTCGATGCGCTCCATTATCGTCCTGCACTCTTGTCTTGCCGTAAGCATCGCTTGGATCTCAATATCATTCATAACTATGCCCCTCAGATATTTCTACAGAACGTTGGAAAGTTTGTAAGAGATATCGACAAGACAGATCTATTTAATTTGGTTTTATCCGGTTTGAGGTGAGTCTAAAAATTGCGTTATCTGCTGTGTGACATTGGGACATGTGAGCAGATTGTTCACATGTTATCACGTGTCATGCATGAGTTGTTACACGAACTTATTGAAAATTAACTATAAAAACACGATTTCTTTTTTTCCAGTGGCGACCCTGGTACAATAAATACAATATGCGATAGTATTCGCAGAGTACTCGAGTCTGCTGATTTCAAAAAATATATACAGCCGATCCTCACTACTTATGTGAAGAAGACACCAGCTGACCTTGAGGGTGCACTGAATGTGTTGGCTGATACAAAACGTGAGGTTTACGATAACAATGTCAGCTGGCTATTGGAGATGTATATTATTTAACAATTTGAAAAATGATCGTTATTAGAAAAAGATCCGATCTTGGCGGAATCGGCATTAAAGTATATGATATTTCTTGCCGATGCTGATCGATTGTATGACATCGCACTGGGAATGTATGATTTTAGTCTTGTGTTGATGGTCGCTCAACAGTCACAGAAAGTATGTACTGACGTGACAAGCGCGTGAGTTGATTAAATGGCAACACGAAATTATTCATGCATTATGTTTTCTTTTCTTTTACAGGATCCTCGAGAATATCTTTCATTCTTGACTGAAATTCAAAAACACGATAAATATTATCAACGGTTCAAGATAGACGATCACCTTAAGCGACACGAGAAAGCAGTAAGAAATTTGGCGTTAGCTGGTAAGTGAGTCAAAGATGAGCATTTTGAGTGGGATTTTTCAAAAGAATGCTGGAAAATAATTAGAATAGGTATGAATTGTCTTTGTACTTACCGTGACATCGCGAGATATCTTGTAATAATGACTTCTTTTATAATAGGAGACAAGTATTTTGACGAGTGTTTAAAGTATACGCAAAAACATGGACTCTATTTGACTGCACTTGAATCGTTTGAGAAAAGGAGCGATAAGTACAAGGTATGAAGATTTTGAAATGATCGTCTGTCAACAATATATAGGATCTGGTTGTAATTTGTCCGGCTATGTTTATTGGTCTATCATTAGGTTGTAATAGAGCTATATGGCGATTACCTTATGTCAGAACAAAAATATGAAGAGGCTGGAGTTGGTATAGTATTTTTGTTGAAAGATAGTAGTATCTATTGTAAGTCTTGGATGCCGTCTGATATACAATATATTGATGTTTTCTACAAAGCATACAAGTTATCAGAAACTCCTAGAAAAGCACTCGAGGCATACAAGGCAGCAGGTTCATGGCGAGAAGCCATCATAATTGCTCAACAACTGGAATTTTCACCGGATGCCATAGTGGGCCTTTCTAGAGAAATTTCCGGTAACCTTCAATAATCTGTACATGCTGAATAACGAATAATTTGCTAAACTATTATTCACCATGTCATGGCAGAGATATTGGTTGAGAAGAGACAATATGTAGAAGCAGCAAGAATGCTTTTAGATTATACGGGGGTATGTTACGGCTTTGTGTTTGATTCGTATAAACAATCTGATAATATCGTTTACTCATAATGTTATGCCATTTTAGGATCCCGAAGAGGCCATACCCTTGTTTGGTAAAGGTTATCAATGGAGTGAAGCCATTCGTATCGTAAGTCCATCCCATGCGTACAGTTTTGCCGCGCGGCCACAATTTTGCTTGTATATGAACATGGCGTATTTAATATTTCTTAGTGCTATCTACGAAATCGACGAGATTTGATAGAAACACACGTAAAACCAAGCATAAGTGAAGGTATGAGAAACTTTTACGCGGTTTGGCGTTCTCAAGGTAATCGACTCTGATCGATACTGCGCGTATATTCGTGTTTTTTTTTTATTAGGCTACGAACATGTCATTGAAGATATAACAGAGATGTCGACTCAATTCCATAAACAAACCAAGAGACTTGTTGAACTTAAAGAAAAGCGAATGGCACAGGAAGAAGGTATGAAATATACAAAATGGTGATATATGTGTCTTTTATTACACTAAGTAGAAAAGTTGAAGTAACCAGTCAAGTTTTTTACGTTAGATTATACAGTTGATCAATCAATCGACAACGTCGATGTTATGTCGGATACAAGCTCAATGGCAAGTGATTTTACTCGATATACCGTATCTGCTTCTCGGTTAAGTACGGCTTCGAAAAGAACCGCGTAAGTTTGCAAAGATAATGTTGCCATTCAGAATCCGACATTGCGGGGTGTTCATTCATTGTGTCGTTTATTAAATCTGACGCAATTCAACAGCAAATCTGCCAAGACGCGTCGGCGCGAAGATCGTAAACGCGCACGTGGTAAAAAAGGAAGTCCATACGAAGTGGAGTACCTGTTTGATTCTCTTTCAAGGCTAGTGGATCGGTTTAACACACTTCAAGGTTTTAAAAAACGGGGCTTTTTTAATGATATTTGTTTATTAGTCACTGTGGTTATGCTAATTAGTTTTCCGTTATGCAGGCGACGTCAAGACTATACTACACACGTTTATGTCTCTAGCATATGTTGATAAAGCAAAGAATTTGCAAAACTCGTTTGGCAAGCTAGAAGAAGACATTGTTGCAGGGATTGAACAATTAGATGTAAGTGTATCTACTCAATGATCTGCATCCCCCAGACTAGTATTGCTTATCACAATCGTCTGTCTTGTCAGGTGAATGCAAGTGCATACATTCCGGTACAAGTCACGCTAGATGACCAAACACAACCGACGCAAGCACAATTTACAAAGCCATCCGTTAGGAAACAAGCGTGGAAGATCGAAGTGCTAGAAAACTTGTGAATATTTGATAATAATAATTTCCTTATTGATTTCTTTGTAAAGTAATTGTTTCTTCACGCGTATCTAAGTAGCCTTAAAAATAAGGTAGTGTAAAATCATTTATTATCATTCCAAAACTTGTTTCGCTATTAAAAATAAAGTCATTTCTAATAGTAGAGTGATATACTTTTTTTTGTTCTCTATTGATAATGAATCTTAATATATGTGCTAATTTTTCTATATAAAGCAAACAATGCAGTTAAAGCGTACACGCCATCAGTTGTCTTTTTCTCTACCTACCAAATGTGTTTACATGATATTTTTCAGTTCGATCCCTACCGCTACCATCTAAATCTATTTATACTTTTCTTCTTACAAATGCCCGTCATCAACTTTGACCGCAAACACCTCTTCAACAACACCAAGATGCAATATTCTCTGGCCACTTTGACACACAGGGTCCATTTCCTTCCCAATTACTATACCATCCTCGGGAGCATAGTACGTTTCGACGAGAATGCCAAATACAGAATGAAGCGTTGCTATAGGCTCGTTTTTCTTGACCCATACGTTCACGTCAGGAAGCACTACAAAGCAAGATTTTAATATGAGCGGTGGTGCGCACATAAGCATTAATCGAATCTAACAATCCCAAATAACTCACCATTAAGAAGACCACCGCGCTTGGCAAATATCCAGTACTATAATATTGTTGATCGAGTCTTAGTACTGACACTTGTAGTAAGTAGCATTGGTAATGCGGATCCAAACTTTTTCTTATATACTTACACTCTTTGCACATACCACCGGATCATAATCGGCGGGCTGCTTGTCATCAGGTACCATTTTCAAATTACTCAAGATATTCGTTACACCTTGTAAGGCATTTCGCACAAACCGTTTCTGGAATTTGGATGGATCTCCAATCTCGACTATGAAAAGTTATATTAAGAGCGTGAGTTTGAAAACGTTATAAGACAACTGAATGACATTTTCTATTCGATCGTTATATAACCAAATGAACCCACCGGTGATCGCCGGAATTCCTCTCTCCATTGCCGCACCACGCAAAGATCCGTCAGGCGACGTGTTATGCACGATAATCTACACACATTTCAATTGTTAGTCTTGAACAACTCGCTATCAACGGGCACGTTCCATGCACATATATTGCATCGCGGCTAACCTGCGGATTCTGCAACCTTGCCATCCAACTAGTTCTTTTATCCACCATGTTCGCCCTAACGTACAAGGAATTCGCTCTTCCCTTTGACGCGGTATGCAAATCAATCAAGTAGCCCACTTTACTCACGATTCGGTCAATCAAATTAAACGCGTACACCTGTGACGTGGTACCGTTGCGTTTTCCAGGCATGACGCGATTAAGATCCGTACCATCGCTGAATGTCCGTTGGCTCGCCAGGTAGCCAGGGATGTTGGCCACGGGAACTGCAACAACGATACCATGTAGAGCGGTACAATCGAGTTCTTGAGACATTAGGCGGTGGATTAATGGAATTCCGTTTAGTTCGTTGCCGTGTAAAGCCGCTGTCTGGATTTTTGAGAATCAACGAGTGTTATTTTGCGTTCTCTCGGTCAAATCAATAAATTTTCCTTATCTTTGATAAATACGTACCAAACCGACAACTGGACCAGGTTTAACTCCCTATTACAATTGATGACACAAAGTTTCTAACTCGAATAAGTTTCACGGGCTTGTGTATAAAAGCGAATTCGACCAATCCTCGCCTACTTTTCTTATTAATTTGCGTGATAATAAAACACACCTTGGCAACCATAACAGGAGCCTTTAAAGGTAAACCCAAACCATCTTCAGCCAATATCACCCATAACAACGATACTCTCCCATTTGGAAGTACATCCAAATCCAACGAAGTCATAGTCGGAATGCTTGCGTCCTCTACATCCAATGCCGACAAGTCCTGCAAGGAAGGAGTGGCAGCTGGCGACAGTGGGACATGCTTTCTCCATATCTGTCTTCCACGAGATAACAAAGCCTCGTCGCGCTCGCTAGTTACAAAACTATATGTTGTGACTATTGCCCAAAGATCTTTTCCGATCGGAGTAAAACTATATCTGTTTAGATTCGAATGAGGAGAGGCGGTTGACGTTCGGCTAGGAACGCAGGTCAAGTCGTAAAACCCGCGTGTGTTTGTGACGACTATTTCTGGTGAGCTATGGAGAGTCGTCCTGAGATTTGACTGGACTTGTTGAGAAATCTCGTCTATTTCGCTATTTGTAGACGTTTTATAAAAGGTCCTGTCAAATTTCTTTAAAATTTTCTGGAATCCCGTTATGTTTGTTTTAGCGAATTCTATGAAAATTGAATAGAAAAGTATGAATGATACGCTATAACCGTACGAAAAATAGATGGTGTGCGTAGAATAAGAATTACCGTGAAGATATTCAAGCGTCTGTAACAATTCGGTCATATCTTTCCGCCTACAAGCAACGACAAAAGACCCTATTTAGATACTCTTCAAATCCGGAACGTTCTTATCAAATCATTCGTACCATTGATCTTGTTCCTCTTGGGATAGACCTTTATGCCACTAGCAAACATCAATGCTAAATAAATAATGATGTGTCAGAACGAACAATTGGAAATAGTATTCTTACCCTTAAATTAAGTTCCTCTAATGAGGCAGAAGCCTCGACTTCAATTTTTTCGTAATGTTTATTGACTTTCTCTAATTCAATAACTAGCATCTTACGAAATTTGTCAACAGCTTCATTCAACACTGCTTGGTTTTCAGAGCCTATTACGGTATTTAAGTATATGAATTAGACTAAACACTTTTAATCAGAGGATATCTGATCTAACACAAATACCTGATCGAGAAACATTCTCGCGTTCAGCAAAAGTATCTTTTAAATATTTTTTGAGTTTTCTATAATTTATGTAATGTTCCGACCAGCTGGGAATAGTTCTTAGGGATAATTGTTTAGCGTATTTCATTTTCGTGGTGAGGATGTAGATACTTAGTCTGACGATAGATAGTTCTTTTATGTGTTCACAAAAGCAACCAGAGCCATACACAATACGCTCCAAAGACGGCTCTTTTATGGAATACGGAATGGTCTCAGATCAGGCTTATCTAATGATAATGCATAATGACAGTTTTCCTGAAGATGATGATGATATGCCGATATAGATAACGATAAATGTTTATTGATATCCTCATTTGGTAGAGATCAACGGGAGTACCAGATATTGGTTACCCAACAAAAGATATAATCTGGAATGCTTATTACACAAAAAGACATGTTGGACGTGAAGCAAGCCACGAATCAAAATTTATCCGACAGACTTGGTAAAACAAATAATAAACTTACTACTAATAAGTTCCATGAGATTACTGCCACTGCCGGTAGTTTAAAATAATATTTTTTTTTCTACCGAGATACGTTGTCACCATAATAATAATACTAGCAATCAATGTCAAGCAGTATTCTTCAGGCGTATCGTTGGCGGGCGAAATAGAATAGGTAAAAAAGTTGTCATAGCAGTTGCTGTGGCCGAATAACTTAGGAAGCTGCTTACAATAGATAGTAATATTTACATAAAATTACTTTATGGTGTATTTTTTCATAAACCACGCAGAATAATAACCACCTTTGAGTCGTTGTGGGCAGAGAACTCGTACTCGTATGTGTCGATCGGTCATAAAAGTATGACTAAAAACGTGGGAAAATTGTAAGCAAAATAGCATATGCAGAATTTTGATTTCGTCAAACGCTTGCCAGCAAGTATAGGATGGTACACATCTTCGGAATTGTTTATTACAACAGCGTAACTTCTAACAACGATGCAAAAATGAGAATAGTATCTTTTTATTGTTGTAATTATTTCAGTACAAATAAAATGTGAATTCTATTTGACCTTAGAAATAAACTTCAGAAGAGAGAAAAGTCAAGTATTAGGGAATATTAATTAAAAAACAGTTCCAACAACTTGTATGTGAATATATACGCATGTTATAGTTTCTACCTTTTGTCAACGCATACCAAGAAATACAGGGAAAATTGTGGCAAGTATATTCTCGCTTAGATCGATCTACCGGAACAGTAGAGGCTCCAATAATGATGCAAAAAGCCAAAAATAAGAGCAATGAGGGGTTTCTCCATTAAGACGAATTGAATTATGAATAGATCGTGCAGGAAGATAAGAGACCGCACTATTTATAGATTATATGCTTGTCGCCTCGCATTTATAATAGCTGGTATATATGAAAAAACAATAATCATAGAGGGTAACAACTGAAAACATACGCGATGTTATAATTTCTATGCATACCAGGAAATACAGGGGAAATTGTAGCAAGTATATTCTCGCTTAGATTGATCTTACCGGAACAGTAGAGGCTCCAATAATAATGCAAAGCCAAAAATAAGAGCAATGAGGGATTTATCCATTAAAACGAATTCAATTATAACAGATCGTATCAGTATTGATGTAACACACTTTCATTAGTAGATCCAAAAATCTTATCATAATCTCCAGTCATGCTCACATACCTCTGGTTGAGGGCGATAATCGTATTAATATATTCTACTAGTTTACATTGTCTTATGCCATGCGGAAGCTGTTGAAGCAGAGTTTTCTGTCCTTGACAATCATTCCTGGGACTACTGTATCTTTGACTGAAGCGTTATACGTTTGATCAGTGTAGCTGTTCGAAGTAAGATTGCCTTCTCTAGTATAATGTCTAATTCAAGAAAGTCATTCGACAGTAGTAAATTTGTCAGACGCAATTCACTGTCCAAATTATAAACCTCTTACCTATTATCTTACATCGCGATCAGTTCTATCCGCATTTTGGTGTATGAAGGAGAACTGTATCATCACCCTTTTTAACATCCAATTTTCGAACAATAATACAGGTACCCATAGTTTCCTTCATTACGAGCTTGTGCGCTTGCAACATTGTGTATATTATATTAACTTTATTGCTCGACATACAATTGTGAATATACTAAATACGTTAGCGATAATGATTCTCCTACTAGTGAGAAGACTATACAGCTCGACGACTATACTATGCACAATTTTTGAAACAATTCGGTCCAGAACCGAGACGACTCAGTTTAGAATAATGACAACAGTCCAGAACTGAGTGGTGTTTAGAAAAATGAGTTCAATCGCTTTTTTGGTTTTGTGCAAAAATGGGCTTGCCTGTTTCGGTCCAGAACTGATGTTCTAGAATTTGGTATTGTCACTATTTGCTTCCATATCACACAAAACGTAATTTATTGGTGCATGGGATGATTGTAATGGATAATTCCAAACCCGTAGCATTAGTATTAGAATAGAGAAATAACGAGACATTACTCTTTTTTGCAATGGGCTATGCAAAAGGGCTATTCTAAACAGAGTAATTCGATCACAGCTTAATAAAAATGTACAAGCCTGTGTGACTTTACCTCTATCGGAAATATGATTGAAACGTCCACCTAAAAAATTGATATCATGACTTTTACTTCACGTGTCGCCAACATGTGCCATAATTAAATATAGATATTATTACTATGTTTTTTTAAAATTATGGCTTAGCGATTACTGTGCCAAATATGGCTGATTTGGGCGGATCACTTGAAAAAATAGATATACGCTATAATCTCTTTTTCTGCAAAAGCCAACTATTTTTATAGCATCCAAGTTCCTATAAAAAGATGGTGCTTCTCTCTTCGCAGTCATCATCAACCAGCACACACATCTTTCGTGAACAGATCAAGTACACTCGCACGCACGCAATTCATTTATTGTTAAACCAACTCACAAGCAAAACCAAAGAAGAAAAATGAAATTCCAATCAATCTTCGTATTCTTGATTGCCAGTTTGGCCGCTGGATCCTATGCTCAAAGACCATGTAATATCTGTAAGTAACATTAAAATTGTAAATTTTGCTCGTGGTGTAAGATATTATTTGTATTAATAAAAAATTTTCCGTTTTTTAGTTCTTCAAGGTCAATTTACTCATGTAATTAGTGGGCAATCTGGCTGCTACGGTACTGACCCTACAGACCCTGTAAAGTTTGCCAGCGCTTCCTACAATGCTGCTTACACACTTTACGCTAGCGAAAACTGCCAAAACCCTATTTTCGCTGGTTCTGGTTACACCAATTTTATTCCTCCGTTGCAAAGCAAGTCTGTCAGACTAAATTGCCCACAATGATAAAATGTTTAACGTCATTATATTAATAACATGAACTTATAACACAGAATTTTAGCGTGATGTATTTATCTATCAATAAACTTTTGCATATAGAGTGCACATACTGTAGAATCGTACGACTATCAAACATTCTCAACAAGTTACGTAGAATATATTAATCGAAGTATAAGTTTTAATCAATTGCCGTATTCCGATTGTTGGCTCGAAAATTACGCTCAAACCAGCATGCAATATCTGTAAGTTAACAAATCTATTTGTGTTTATAAGGCAACAGAAACTCGAGTACTCTCACAGCCTTGCAACAAAAGGCGATTCCTTAACAATCTTCTCACTCGCCGTAGCAGTTTGAGTCCAAACCCGCCTTAATGAAAAACATACCGATTAGGAAGCACTAGCGATAAAAACTTCGATAGCTGTATAATGCATACATTGAGATCCGTGTGCAATACAATAAATGTTGAGAATGCTTCTGTCGAAAGAGTGAAAATTGACTTCATTCAAACATGTCATTAGCAATTGACAATTTGATTAAATCGTCCTTGGAGTATGAATACTTAAGACTTAAATGAAAGAGTCATCGATATGGAGCCAACTCAAATTGACCTTGAATACCTCGCTAGGACGCGACGTCGAAGACGTTGATATAATGCTGTTATGCTTGGAAACGGCGAAAAATGTACACCAACGTTTGAATAAACATACTCACTTCTGATACACAAGTACATGAACAACCAGCTGCACATCGAAAGGTTTACGCGATAATCTCAAATGGACAGTTCCGTATACCTTAATTCAATGAACATTTTGAATCATAACGTAAGTCTAGTGGACCAAACATAATTTTGGTCGTGTGACGTAATACAATAAACGTTGAGATGAGATAGTGAAACTTGTTCATTCAAACATGTCATTAGTATCAGGGACTATTAAGAATCCAGCAATTGACAACTTGGTCAAATCCTCCTTGGAAAGTAAAGTTGAATCATTAAGACTTGAATGGGTTCCGAGCGAAGAAAACACCAACGTTAAACCAACTGAAATCGACAACGTTTATCTTGCTCGCTATGAGCCACTTTTTGGGATGACGATAACACTGGTATTCGTTGGAAATAGTGAAGAATGTACGCCAACCTTTGTGAGTGAGTTTGCAAGGATATACGCACTTCCGACACACAAGTACAATAACGACGTCAGTCAATATAGACGATATTACAAATGGCTCGAGAAACGCAACGAAGCGATAAAGGGGTTTACCGAGTATAATGACAACTGTTACTACATGGTTGTCGCTAGTAGATGGTTTTACCATTGCTATTCCCGTTATGGATTCTGCACCGCATGTGGAATACTCCGGTGTAGCCCTGTGTGGTGCATTTGCGGTCATAAAGAATTATCCGATGGATGGACCAGCAACAATAAGCGACTCGACGAGTTTATCAAGAAAACTCAATTGCAAACAAATTCACCAAATGACGCCTATTTGGAATGGATTCCGTTTGATTGTATTCATGATGCATACTTGTATGATCTGCCTACTACTGCTATTGGTGCTAAGGTTGAATTGATTCCGCTTGAGATAACAGATGAAACACATGATTTGTATTATGCCGAGGTAAACTATTTATATTTGCTTGTGCGTCATATTTATTGAATAGTTTGACTTATTTATTATTATTATGTATCATTTCCACTAGTTATGTGATAGGCATCCAGATATTCTTACTGCGGATGTTTGGGTTACCATCGGATTCACATATGATGCAAACGAACAAAAGTATTGTCTAATAAGAGAGCATGAAAAAGTCGGATTATGTCTGTCGTGTGCAAAGCCATTAAGCCCCAAGATAAATCTATTCTGTTATTTCTGTAAAGCACCACGACCTCTTAATTGGACTACGGGCAACACGTCATTGGATTCATTTATTATGGAATCATGGAAGAATACAATCAACGAAAATGATGCGTATATACAATGGATTGAATACTCTCTTTTGACAAACGTACAAGAAATGACGTCATTACGCCATGGATGCACACACATAGCAGATTGGATAACGAATGAATTGACACAGGTGACACTCAAAAAAATAGGAGATAATTTTCATCAGGTAAATTATGTCACATGTAAAATGCAAATCGTGTTGCGTGCTAATAACTAAAATTAGATTATCGTATTCAATAGCTAATTAAAGAATACCCCGATATATTAAACCCCCCTGAGAATATTTGGATAATTGGGATAACACAGAATCCATCTACAGTCATACCTCATTTGTATCCCCCCCCCCCCTATTGTATCCCAACCTCGACTATATCCCAGGTTTTCAGCTGGACAGATTTCCCTTATTGTAAATC